AAAGAAATCACCTCAATAAAAGTCTGATCTTGTGGAAAGACATAAATGTGTGTGGACCTGGTTAAGTCTGTTCACAACATGCCTGAGAGAGAAATGCTTTTGAACTGAGACCTCTCACATGATGGATATACGCAGGTGCTAATAAATTTCTGCTTGTTCTTCCTGTTGCTCTTTTGTTTTCAGGAGAATCTCAACTAATAGAGAAAGAAGAGAAATTAAATCATATTTAGTGGAATGAGGTAATGACTCGAAACTCTGGAGTTTTCAATTTGAGAACTCCTCTCATCCACTGCTTCTAAAGAGGCTAGAAGTGGCGTGTGGAAAGTGGGAGAGGTGTTTGAACAAGGAGACTGAATAGTACAATTTTGTGGTGCAAAACAAAAAAACCTTGCTTAACGATGCAAAAACAGAATCTAATGCCGGACAAAATCTTGGTTGAAGGAGGTTCATAAGTTACAGTGATTCCCACACTGTGTCCTAAAGTGAGTATCAGAATGGAGGGAGAGCATTTATCAAAAAAGGCTCAGAAGCACATAGTCCAAGCCATACATCCTACAGAAAAAGAAATGAAAGTCACTGATGCTAGGACCTTCCTAAAATAACTCTCTCAGCTGATCTTCTGTTGCCTGAAGATACAAGTCACAATCCTTAGTTTGCTATCAGAGGCTTTTTATCTGTTCTTTCCTTTCCTGCTGCTGCCCCATGCTCTGGCCAGACTCACCTATTTGCCTTATCTGCCTCCACCTTTTTGCAGTTACAATTATGTAGACAAAGTGATGCCCTTCTCCCTCCCTCCTTTTCTTTTCCTCTTTCTTTTTTTCATTCTTTTCTTTTCTCTCTGGTTTTGTTTTGAGACAGGATTTCTCTCTGTCTCCCAGGCTGGAGTGCAGGGGGCAGTCGTGGCTCCCTGCAGCCTTGAGCAGTCTTTCCACCTCAGCGTCCTGAGTAGGTGGGACTACAGGCACACACCATCACACCTGGACAGTTTTTAACAGATCAGCTGGGATCACAGGCACGCGCCACCATGCCCAGATAATTTTTGTGTTTTCAGTAGAGACGGAGTTTCACTATGTTGCCCAGGTTGGTCTCGAACTCCTGAACTCAAGTGACTCACCCACCTTGGCTTCCCAAAGTGGCGGGAATACAGGCATGAGCCACCGCGCCTGGCGGTTT